GGTGGAAAGACTCTTCGAAGCGGCTTGATGTAGTGCCTACTGGTCGTCTACCTATGCTAATAGGCTGTCTGCACATCACTTCGTTTATGTTTGTCCGTTGGATCTCGTGCTTCGTTTGTTTCTTGTCCAGTGCCCGTCGCACTTGGAAAAGAAAACAAGAATGCTAAGAACCTTGTTGAGGAAAATGTATCAAAAATAATGTTTGAAAATGACATGCATCTACCATACACTAAAGTAATGCGAAAAACAGAACATTGAAAAAAGTGTATATCTAATTTTTTAGTGTATGTAACATGTACAGTTATAAAATATCTGATGTGTCAGAAAGAAAAAAAAATAAATACCACAAACGAATAAGAGTTTGTGGGTCGCATCACTTAGTTATGTGATATAAGTGTGAAGATGTTCTGGGAATCTCACGTTTCGTCCAGAACGCGTTTTCTTTGAGGGCTCGACAGAAAGTTTGGTGGCTTTCGCCGTGCTAGTGATTTCTTCGAGGACTAAAAGGTATTCGGTTACTCGTGTATTATTGGGAATGCTTGGTTCTAGGCTCGTGGGATTGCCTTCTAAGTAGGCCGGTTTCAGACGGTCGATGCTGACGGTGTCTTTATGGCCTTTTTTGTCTGAGACAAAGAATTAATCCATACGCTTAGTGACTTTATATGATCCGTCGTATGGGAGTTCCAGAGGGCGACGCACAGAGTCACGGCGAACAAGTACATATGAAGAAGTTTTCAAACACGGGTGAACAAAGACGTCTATGGACTGTGGTCGTAGCGGAGCAGGTTTAACTGAACGCATTGCGTTTGTATGCTTGCTGACATATGATGTGTGATTAACTGCTGGTGGCAAGCTAGAGGGAGAAACAAACTCACCTGGCAGTCGTAGTGTTGTGCCATATACTAGCTCGGTGGTAGTACAACCAGCATCATTTTTCCAGGCGTTTCGTATGCCTAGGAGAACTAACGGTAGTGATTCAGTCCAATGTACATTGTTCGCAGCTGATAAGCCAGCTTTCAGCTGTCAGTGCATACCATACCATTAGCCTGAGGATGGTAGTCTGTTGTTCTAAAACGCATACAACCAAGAATTTTAGTGAAGGCGAAGAATAAGCCGCTTTCGAATTGTCGCCGGCGATCAATTGTTATGGAGGATGGGCATCCAAAGTTTGCGATCCATCATTCGACAAAGACACCTGCGACTGTTTCAGCAGACACATCTTTGAGGGGTTATACTTCAGGCCATCGTGTGAAACGGTCCATGCAGGTTAACGTATAGGTATATCCATGTGATTCCGGAAGGGGTTCAACCAAATGTGCCGTACTTTGTTTCTGCTAATTGTAAGCGCTTCGAGAAAAAGACGAGTGGTTGCCACTCCCTATTGACTAGTTGTTGCAGAACTGCGCCGATTGCAATGTCTGATGCATCAACTGAGATACTTAACGGTGACGTTGGATCCTGATACATAAGTAGGGTGGCATCCGCAATAGCTTTCTTTACCTGAGTAAAAACATGTCGAGAAGACGCGTCGAGTTCGATAGACTTGTTATTTTCTCGAAGGAGGTCTGTTAATGGCTGAATCAGAGAAGCACAGTTAGGTGTAAATCGTCGGTAATAACTTACCAAGCCTTTGAAAGTGCGAAGACTTTTCACTGTCTTTGGCTCCAGAAAGTTCAGTATCGCCTCGACTTTAGTGGCCAGTGGGCGAATGCCCTGACAATCAATAGTGTGACCCAGAAAATCAAGTGAGTCAACGCCTATTTGACACTTCTGTATATTGATGGTAACACCATGTTGGCGTAACCTTTCAAATGCCAAGTCCAAGTGTCTAAGGTGGGTTTCCTCATCTGGACTGGTAATGAGGGCAGTCGTCTAAGTATGAGTTTACAAAATCGAGACTGCGAAATCCTCCTTCAATGAAGCGTTGGAATGTTTGTGCTGTATTCCGGAGACAAAATGGCATGCGTAGAAATTCAAAAATTACGAAAGGCGCAATGATAGCTGTTTTCGGAATATCTTCTGGTGCCATCGGGATTTGGTTACACGCTTTAACTAAGTCTATCTTCGGGAATATGGTTGTTGCCATCAAGTCGTGTATGTGAGGCAATGGATAGCAATTAGGGGTTGTTTTGGCGTTCGCTCGCCGGTAATCACCAGTGCGTAGCCAATCGTTACTATCCTTTTTCGGTACCATATGCAATGGGGATGCCAATGGGCTATTCGATGGTCGAATGATACCAAGGGTGAGCATATGATCGAACTCATTTCTAGCGATTCTCAGTTTGTCAGGAGCCAGTCGTCGTGCTTTGGATGTCACGGGCTGTCCTGAGGTTGTGATGTGGTGCATAACACTACTGGTTATGCACGGGAGATCGCTAGATGAGCAGTTAAGTTCCGGATACTTATCAACAATCGGTTGGAAAGTTGGATCAAGGATTGCCTTCATCTTAACGAGTGACAAGCTGGGGCCTATGTAGGTGATGCCTTTGATAAACAGACTGGTAGTATTGTCAATCAGTCGTTTTTGGTGGACATCTACGAGTAAATCATGATGATTAAGTAGGTCCGTGCCAATGATGGGCGTTGTGACGTCAGCGAGAAGGAAAATCCACTGAATAGGTTTGCGTAAACCTAGACGTATTTCCTTCCAAAAGTTGCTATTGGTTTTCCATTTGCAGCCTGTAAGTTGAAGGTAGTTCCCTTTTGTCGATCTGCCTTTGTAGCAGGAAGGACGCTGACTTCGGCGCCTGTGTCGACTAAATATCGGGTCTGGCTGACCACATCACGGCTAGTGATACCGGCGACGGTTGCTGCTAATGCCTGCCGGTGGGATAGTTTCCCACAAACTTTGAGACATTACCGAAATTACAAGGGTTTTCGGCAACATTTCGCTTCCTGGCCAAAGGTATTGTGATAGTAACACCAGTCAGGGTTTTATAGTAAATGTGTCTTGGGTTTAGACCGACCACGTGAGTTTCGCCGTTGCGGGGAGTTCGGACGACGATAGGAGGAATTACAGCGTATATATGACCTAAGTAGCTGCTGGACAGCTGCATAACTCTATCACTGCAGTGTCCCTACTCGAAGTCTGTTCGGCAACTGAGCGTATTTCAGCGACTGGGCATTTTGTGATTTCTAGAATTTTATCTGCAGAAATGGCTAAGTCGTCTAAAATAACACCTTGAAGTGTAACCACCATAGCCTGTACTGGCTGTGGCAGTTTAGATAAGAACAGTTCTCTGAAAAGTCCTTCATCAAACTGACGTTGGCCAATAACTTCCCTCATTCTTGTAAGCATGCTCACGGCTGACTGATCACCTAACTCGATGTTACGAAATAATTCGTCCAGACTCTGTCGATCCGCGAGAACGTTTCTCCTTAGGAGGGTTGCTTTAAGCAACTCGCAAGAGTTACTTACCTCTGGGCTCGACATCTGCACAGTTATGCATTTGCTGAATTCCCGCGGTAGGGCGTGAACAGCTGCAAGGAACTGTGAACGTTGATCAGTCAGCATCCAATGTTCAGTGATGAATGCTGTGGCCAATAATTTTGGGTAATCACCTATCGCTACAGAAAAATGCGGCTGAGGGAACCATACTTAGGCCGATGTTCTCTTAGTGAAGCAAGGTGTTACGAAGTTATCCCTTTCTATCAACAACTTCAGTGAATAACTTTTTCAAGCGAAATTAGGTAAATTCTTTTCAAATACACGTTAAAAGAGAATAAATCGTACTAACAGTGATTTAATAAAAACGATAATGTGACACTTATGATCGGTGAATGAAAGTCAGTATATCTGTAAAGCCAGTCTGGAGTAAGGTAGTTAGGTTTGCTGTTATTCAACTGTGAAATAAATCTACAAGGTCAAGTTGTAACACTCTATAGACATACGTTTTCACCAACTAAGAACACATAAAAAGCCAAGCGTAGACAACAATAGCCCCCGGACTCGGAGTTTTGAAACTTGACGAAATCATCATTATCTACAATTCAGTCGTTGTGTTATCACTGAAAATGTAGGGCTGCAGTGCCTAATTTCTATTGCACTTGACTCTCTTCTATCACCTTTAACTGGTTCCGCGACTTTCTACAAGCCTTAATCTCCCCTACTTGACCCTCGGACGCACGCTGGGGCGCTTACCATTTGCGCTCCACTTGTATTTGACGTACGATGCCATTGGGAGGACTTCTCAGAAAAGGTAATATTTCTTCTGCATATTTGTTTAGAAATACGTTCTTAGTTGGCGGAGGAGTTTCATCAACATAGTTCTATTCATACCTACAGTTAGTGTCACGCCATGTTAATTTTATCACTCACTAAATGCGAACCGTTGGACTAAGTATTTTAGATATAAATAATACCGTATTATAAGTTATCGGGAATAATTATTTTACAATGAAAGCTTCCTTCATCTTCACCTCTGGTACACTGCTTAACAATGTGTAACTTAGAATGGAACATTCCAACAATTAAGATACTATGAGATCCAAGCGTTAGGTACTGGATTTTAATTGTTTCGGATTTTAGAGTTTCAAACATATTATTTACGTTTGTCTCACAGCTCAAAATGCGATACACACAGTGGCTACGGTGACTAATATTTGCGCTAATTTTATTGCTAGTCTTACTTTTCGTGAAGTTATTTCACGAGAATGGCATAAGAAACCACAACGTCGAGGACGTTGTGAGAAGAAATTCTCAAATACAAAAGTGATTTAGCCTACAATACAAGGGTTATAAATATTCACAACCTACATCTACGGGTACTTATACTGCACGACTAGATGTTGTTCTCCAGATACGCGGTTAAATATGGTTTATAACAAAGGGTTTGGGTGCATTGGGAGATAAGTACACACCTAGAATACTTTTATTTAAAAAAAATATTATTTTGATAAGAAGTAATTATGCAAGATAAATAAAAATATTCAAGTTGAAAGAAATAAGTGGGAATCACAGTCTACCAGTGAAAAACATTTAAACTTGAAAGAAGATAATTTTATACACAATTCTTTCTGATTGGCGGTAAAAAGCAAAGATTATAATGAACATTCGGCTTCCAGAAACTTTGTGGTTTCCAACCACACCAACCTTTTTCTGTAATAATTTTAATGTTTCCAAATGGACCAGTATAGTGAGGATCAAGTATTAAATAACGACACGATGAAGTCTCAGTACTGTTTGGTGTTGATTCACATAACTGGACACCGATAATGGTATGAGCCAGTTGACCACCACCTACCATGACTGGACCCCCACCGGAAGTGAAGTGTTGTGCAAGAGCAGGTGCTGCTAGCTGAGTCATTTGCGATCCCTGTGGAATATGTAACAGGCGACACTGTATGTTGTATAACTCTTGTAAACAGTAGCTAACCTGAACACAGAGACAAATGAAAAGTATAAAAATATGTAATTTGAATAACTGAAAACTTGGATCAAATTATTATTAATCTCCAACATATATTATTAAATAAAATAATACCGCCCATGTGATGGAAATGACTGTCAACAAACTTTGATTACATTTTATTTGAAATATTAAAAAAATGAGCCTTAGTTGTTACAATTTCTCTAACAAGACAACTAACATAATGCTGATGAAAGCAGATGTCACACCTTATACAGTCCAAAATAATGCAGTACATTTGAGGCATAAAACTAATACAGAAATGACATGCACACACCTCATAAAATGATTACTACATGGTAACAACACTTACAATTCACATTATATATGAGTACAGTGGATCTAGGGTGAAGTAGGCAGGGGATTTGAACCAGGGAACTAGTGGTTGGAAGTCGAGTGCTTATTCATGTGAGTGTCACCTCCACAGAATCCTATGAGACATGTAACAGATGGGATGTTGTCAAATATGGTTAGAATCCAAAACCAGTGGTGAACACGATTCAACCTTTTTATTTTACTAAAGTGATTGAAGGTGATAGATGCTCTTTATAATGTACCTTGTGATTGTGTTCTTTATTTTGTTATCATATTGACTTTTGTAATGCTTTGCTCGGTACGCATTTTGTACCAAGTTTATATTTACTCGACTTTAAAACTGTTCCTTATCGTATTTTATACTTAACTTACAGGCTATTTGGACATCTGCATAATGACTACAGCTAAAAATTGGTGTCGTATTACTCACTATAAAAATTCATAAAGATATACTAAACGCAAACAGTTTCATACTTCAGTATCCTATGAAGGCGGATCTTTGTATAGCATATACACGTCTATGAAAATGGATAACGCTTCTTAAGTAATATGGATGCAATTTTTTTAACAGAGGTTAAGTGTTTAAATTACCTGAGACGTAAAATTAGCATTTATGAACTAATAATAATTTATGATACAATGGAATTAATGTTTCAATGACATTCAACATTCATCACTGAGTACTTAAAAAAAGGTGATTGAAACATGGTTATTATGATTACAAAGACCAGTAATAATGCAGTAGTAGAAATACCAGAGAGCAGAACAAGACATATATGGGAAATATTCAACTTTAAATCCCTAAAAATGATGAATGAAAAACCATATTTTAGATTAGAAATCAGTTATTTCACTTACCTCAAGAGAACCAATCCACTGGCCACTGCCAACAAAATTTTTTGGTTTGTCTCCAAAACGAACAAGGGAGTTTTGAATATCTTTGAGAGAAGGTAGTGGACCTGGAGTAATTTCACCTTGCCACATAAGCCATGATATTAGAGTTTGCAGTGACCGATATGCACAGCCCCAGTTTTTGTCATCTATATCATCCTAAATATGAACATAATAATCACTTACTTTGAAACGCATAAATCACTAATTTCTTACCGATATTACAAATCAAATAACCGGCTTAAAATAATCTGTTCTTTTTTTCCTTTTTCATTTCAAGGTATACATGATTCATTTAGTTTTTAGGAACACTTTAGAGGACTTCTGCCATTATTGTGTGTAGATGGGGTGCAGTCTAGCAATTACTTGTGGATTCATACATTAAACTTTGAGTGACAATTAAAGTAAATGGACCTAAACTACTGTGCAACTTGTTGAATTAAAATCTCAGGAGTCGGAATATCTCATAACTTGCCGAAAACTTCACACAACGAGCGACTTCACAAAGGCTCCACATAGTTTATACTCAATATTCCCTTTAGAAATACAACAATTAATGGATTACTCTTATATTTCTCCTTTTTCTTTGGAATTCAAAAAGTTAATTCTAGCAATGTGTACATAAGCGTTAACTACAACTGTTTGTTGTATTCTCTTGACTAACTAATATTAAAGATAAACGAGGACAAATACTCGCCGAAGACATTGGCTAGGGGTCGCGCTATGTCGTGAATTGGCAGAAGTTAGAATTCATGGACCATTAGATCGGGTCCCAGTGGCTTAATGGTATACGAGCTCGCCTTGTAACCAGAAGGTCCAGGGTTTGAATCCCGGTGGGTGTGTATTGATGAAGACTCCCAAACTAGGACGAAACAGCTGTCCAGTACTCCCAGGTTTTCCAATGGTTCTCTAACTGATGTCAGCTCATGATGAAATCCTGTAACCAATCAAATCCCTACAAACCAATCTCATTTTATTATGAATCTCATCCAACTGTTATTTACCAATGTTCTGATGATAATATTAATCATTGTTCTTTTTAAACTACGCAGAAACTTACATACAGACTGAATCCCCGAAACGTCTGTCTAGTAGAATATGAAGTTAAGAGTATGTAGGCAATAATTCACATAATTCATTGTTGCATGACCATCACTTTCAGATAGAAAATTTCTAATGTTGATCAGTCACTTATATAGTCAGTTGTAAAGATCGTATATTCTCAGATATCTAATAAAACGGAATGGAACACTCTAAAAATCAGTTTTCGTATCAATAACAAAATGATTTATTCTACTTGACATTTTTCCGTCAGCAACACATGAGCTACATATGTAGAAAAATAACCAAAATAAATTTGCCAGCGAACATTATAATCATCAACACATTTGAAGTTATTTAAACAAGTATAAACTTTATCTATTGTCTCTATTTATTTGTAGATGAGGTATAGTTTAACCTCTTAGAATATACAAAGACATTTGTGATAAAAAGAAGTACTATGAATATTAAGCTTAAAGAAGATCGCGAAGGAAAAATGTGTTTAGCAAAGTACAGACAACTTTATATGTGAAAAGAAAAAAACTGTCATAGGGGGCTTTTACTGTTGAGCACACTCATAGAAATATCAAACAACTGTCAGTGAGTTGGCCTGGTTGAAAACTACACATATTATTGTATAAATATATCATTATACAATGCGCATTATAAATATTACACATACCTGTAGGTAATGTTTGTAAGTATAGCGACCGTTGACAAGGTAAGTTGTGCCCAAATTAGGAGAATGTTTAACAACTTCATGTGGAGAAACAAGGAGATCAGAAGATGGACCAAGCCATTCAAATAGCCTAGGAACCGGATGAAGAGCTTGGCCTCGTCGAAACAGAGGAGTGTCAAGCGAGAAACCGTACTCTTCAAAAGAAAAAACCAGCAAATAGCAGTCATGTAAGCTGTCTGATAATGTATGACAAGTAAAAAGTCTAAACCATAAAAAAAACCGAGATATATCATATTACGCCACGTTGGAATACTATATTGTCTGTAAGATAGTTAGTAGAAACTTCTTACACTTGAATTCTTACATTACTTTATCACTTTTAAACACATATAATAACTCTTATGAATATAATGAAAGACCTTTTGCAGCCGCAGTACTCTCACACACAAAACTAAATACTCTACCAAATAGCCTTTTGAAATACTTCCATGAATCGTTACCCAGGTTTTCGACAATTTGAGAAACGTGATTTACACTCCACTGTCTATTAGAAAACAGCTTATGGTTATGGATACTGGTGATCCTTTCTCTAGACGCGGTAAGTATAAACTATATGTCAGTGTACATTTTGGCGACACTGCGATACTGAAAGTCAAACTACTTCACTAGATGCTTGATTCACGCTTCTTTTAGACTGTTCCACAGATGTTCTCGGTAAGAGTACTTAATAGGAGTGGCGCGCGCAGGAAATCGCAATGAATTCCTACGACTTTAGGATAATTAAGTGGGATAGATGTGGGCCACTAACCACTAAGAAACACGGAGTAGTGTTTTTTTTTTTTTGTTGGTGACACTTTCCTAGTGCCAGATGACTGAACTCAGAAGTGCCAGGTTTCCCATGTCAATAAATTATCTTGAACTGTATTACTTTAATCAATGATTCCAGTGTTGCGTCTCTGACAAGTTTCAGAAATAATAATTGTCATTATGATAAGAATGCCACTACTTACTTAGTACGGGTATTTTATGTGGTGGGTTTTCAGCGATATTGAGTGAGTCAGGTTATGTGGTACTACCAAAATGCACAGTTTAGAACAAGACCCTGTTGGTTGTAAAGTAAGTGCCACAACCAACGAGTCAGGTTTGTACCGAACAATTTACGTCCATAGAGAATCACTGCAGGAATTTTCAATGAAACATAGCAGCGCTGAGAATCGTATTTTAAAGGTTACCCGTTTCTAAAGTAGACCTATTGATTAGTTTCAAAATGAAAACTCATGCCTGTTTAATACAGAAATCACAATGAATCAAAACTTAATCCAGTGCATCTCTATACACGCTTTTTGTGCGAGGGCCAGACATATTACCTCACCACTTAAACTTTAGTGTTAAGAGACTCTGGGTAATACGACTGACATTTTACCTGGAAAGTGGTCACAGAGTGTGGTGAACTGGAATACCATGGAGCAGTAATAATAACGGACAGGAAAGCACACAAAGGGGCAGATAGAAAATTAATGGTTTGATTGCGCTACTGAATAGCAGACTTAGAAGAATGCTACGGAGTCCAATAATGATTGCATCGTGACATTGTCCGGAGGTATGTTAAAAATCAGAAACTGTAGTAACCCCGAATTATGCAGTATATTACAATTTATCAAGAGTACGCTATCTTGTTACGCATCTTTATATACACAACACATTAAGTAATTAGTTGGAAAGAACATTACATGTAGCACATAACGATCGATCACTGAGGATTAACCGTTTTCATGGTTCCAAGTTCATAGTGCTCACTAATTATTAGTATCATAGCTAAATTAGGCGGAACCGATTTTTCATGTACCAGGCTAACAGCCACACTCATCGTGTGAGGGTTGGTGGCATTACCCAATCGCCTAGGCTGAAGTACGTGAGGCAGGACTCGAACTCGTGACCCGTTGACTGCAAGTTGAGTGCCACTAAGCCATATCCCAACCTGGTGCTAACTAAATTGTATCAATCAAGTTTGCAATGTAATCTGCAAGTTAAGAGAATTGTCACTAGTGCATTTTGTAGTGATGATCATCTTACCAATTGCCTCTACTCATTTAAAACATGCAGTATACACTTTCAGTTTCTTTCTTCGATACGCTCAACGATACAAATGGTTTGACGCAATATTATTTGGTAGTCCAATCATCATGCCACTAAGAAGACTAACTGATCAACACAAAACTCCCTACAACAGTCAAGCATTCCTCTTTGTTGCATATATCATTAGCAGTGCAATGGGAAATAAGAGCAGATATTACAAAATTCCATTGAAACGAATAAATTACTGAATAGGTTGCGATTTCCTAAGTCAGAGGAATTTTAATTTACACAGAAAACTGAAAAATGCTGTAAAAAAGAGGCCTTGGAAAAACCGTCGCCTTATGGCAAATATAGGAAAAGAGGAAAAACAAATATGTTTGAGATATGCGAGGTCCACTCTATGGAATCACGGTCTGTATTTGGAAGTTAAGAAATATTAACTCTTCAAACTCATCACCAGAATGCAAAATGGTCACGATTGGTGCAGCTCTGTAAGATATTCAATATTATCCTTGAGATTAGTATTACCTACATTTTATTTCTTTACATTATCTTGAAGTCTGAATCACTGAGTCTTTAGGCGTACTGCAATGGCTTCAGGTTACTGGACGACAATACATACATAATTAGTGATAATTAACTAGTTGGATGAATTGTTTCTTGATCAGTAGACATGGAACTTCAGTAGGATTCAGGTAGTTATGGACTACTTCAGTGATGTCCAACGATTTACGTTGTTAAACTCCTGGAACAGATTTTTCGTGAAACAGGCTGCGTCACACTTATGGTGTGGGAGTTGAAGTGTGTGGAGTGGGATCCGAATGATGGATGGGTAGAAGTTGAGTGCTTGAATCAAAGAGCCACTTCTAACAATGTGCGACATCTAGTTTCGCACATGTGTATACATAACATTGCCCTTATTTTCTGAAAACAATAGACGCTCGTAATATACATGAAGAAATCACTGTATTTTATAGTTTATTGATATTCACCAAGGCAACATGATGTCTAATGCCAAACAGAACAGCCTTCATTACAACTGAGAAACAAAGTATAGTGAAGAATTAAGAGAGGACAAATTAGTGAATACAAAGTTTAATTATTAACCTTGTTTAATCACGTTAAAGACACATAGTTTTCATCCTTGGCAAGTATTTTTTGAATCTTCAGAAATAATTTAAACGAAACAAAAAGAAACTTGAAATCCTATATTATTAGTTTGCTTTATAGACTTTAATTATGAACCAATACAAATATACTATTCACTTGAAAAATAGGATCAAGAGCGACCCAAATTTATGAATTCTTTTAATCCACTGATTGTGCAATCCAGACAGATTTGCTAGATCATAAAACTGCTTGGCACCAACCACCTCTTCCACATTTTAGTGAAATAATTGCTCAAGTATTGTATCTAGTCACACATTGCTACTACATTGCCTGTAGTTACTTGCAAACAAAACCTGAAAGTTTGTATATTTAGGCTTACTAAGAAACTCAAAGCCTATAGACAGTAATCAACGAGTATTTTGACATGATTGAATTCGTAACACAGTAATGCCCCTACGGGTTACAATCACTGATACTACTGATTTCAGAGATTCAATTGTACCAGAAATGCCAATCGAACAGTAGCAAGAAAAATCCAACTATCGTCAGAATATGAATATGTATTGTTTTAGGAGGCTGAAAGCGTATCCTCACAAATAATTGATTTATTGAGATGACAATAATTTCCCTTGAAAAACCAATAAAGCAGATGTGGACAGGAGTGGTCATAAAGAGTATATCCTGACTTACTTCAAAACTACCTGCAACTAGCTACAAGATTCGTTATACTCACAGAACACAAGAACATTCTTCAAAAGGTCACGGTTATGTCTTGCGCAGACATATTCACACAAAACTTAATTTTTCTCTTTTCCAAGCGTTGCAATAAAATTCTGACTCCCACAGTGTAAAGAAAAAAATCAGCAATTTTTATCTTTGCGTCTTTCTTAGTTTTAACTACCACTTCTCCTAATGATACTGTTCTTAAGTACATCCTATCACTAAGTAGACATTTTCTTATCTCAGGCTAGTCAAATACATTCCGTATTTTCCTAAAACTACTCTAATGGATTCATAGTGAAATCTGAGTTCCACATATCGTGTTACACACACCCACAGGCACTACTAATCAAAAGTCAGGCATCTGAAACTACGAAAGTCTTGTGTCGTCATGTTGTGTATAAAAGATCCAAATACAAGTGCTTACTTAACTTTACTTAGTTAAAGTAACGGATTTGAAAATCAAGGAGTTGCATGCTTAGATTTCATGAAATTACTGATATACGGATAGCAATAGGTTGTGGAACAGAAAACTCATTTCTCAACCTGTGTTGTCTGACCTTATTTACTACGAAGAAAAAACAAAATCGTGGTAATCAGTTGTGCTTGTTTGTAGTTCCTACGCTCATAAATGTTGGCTACAGTTCGGAGAGTATACAGAATCAGTATTATACAAAACCATCAAGCTAACCGAAAGAAGACAAAACAATCACACTGTTAATTAATTCTGAGAAAAGTAAACAACACAATACAAATAAACTTACTTTCATGGGCAGCAGTACGCCAAATTTTCTCGTGTGATTCTTCGATATCCCAAGGTAGATACATTCTGTACATAGCTGAACTAATCGAATAGTGATAGGATGCTAGCATTTTAGGAGGAGACTTCAGTTCGCTCCAAAGGAACAAAATAGCTTGATGGTAGCTATCGAGAAACGAAGATAATTTCGCACAAAGTGCATTATGAAACATCTCATTTTGATTCACTTCACAAATGAAGTCAATTTTTATATAATGAGAGTAATCACTGGTAGAACGAGATACCTCTAAAGTTGGTGTATAATCACAGGAGTTATTATCAAGACTGAAGAATACTAAAAGAGGTATTATGTTCACTTCGTTCCGCAATTTCCGAAGAGACTGGAAAACCGCAGATAACTGGTGCTTGGTTGAATTAGCTGATAAGCACAGAGTATCATGAATAAAGATAGCAGATGCCAAGAATACTTTTAACCTTTGAAAAGATTGAGATAAAGATTCTTTCGAAGAAAATCTGATGACTACTGGCTTCTTGGTGTACAGTTTCAGCAACAAGCGTTCTGAATCACCAAGGTCTCCACAAGCAGTTTCACACAACTCCATTGTTATAAGCCAAAGTAGAATCAAATGCCAAATCCCATGTACAGTTAAACTGTGTCGGTCTTACTGTAATCTGTCATATAACCAATAGTCGACTGTTAGAAGAAACGCTAAATCCTGCAAAAAATACGTCAATAGATATCGTTCAGAATCTAGATATTTTAAAATAAGATAGCCGAAAAAATGAAAAGATGTGAAAGATATTGTACACTATGAATGATACTATTGAATACCTACATGAAGCTATAAAATAAGTTATATGAGATTATCAAAGAGATATTCAATATTAGTGAACTACACGTTGCATGAAGATAAGTCTCGGTGGTAATAAATTTGAAAAAGCACTAGGCAAAGAAATGCTAACCACCCAATTAAGTCTTTGTCAACGCTTACATTGAGTGGGCAGAATTTGTGTCCAGAAAATATATGTATAACCACTTTTCCGCTTTAACCAATCTCATAAAAATATCTGTGCGAAATTTGATCACTTCTTCTCCCTTCCTAATAACAACCCAATATTTAGCCAATCAGCTTACATCGTCTAGTTTACTAGTCTCCCATTCGGTTTTGAGCTCGGAAAAAGAGGGAAAACTGTGAGTGCAGCTAGCGATCCCACCCGAAAAATAACAACTCAATTGTTATAAATCTTTAAAGTACTCTAAAAACATAGGAAATAAACTTAGTCTTCGATGGAATCGGGGAAGAATTATGACACCAGTCTGGAAAAGTCAGCCAACCGAAGTGCTTTTTTGACAAAATCAAAAGTGAGTGTGAGGATATATATTGTCCGCAAGATGTGTGAAACTGCTAAGGCCACCCAGATTACAGATGTAGTATAAAAGCGACAGAAAGCAGATGCAGTGAAAATGGCTTCTACTCGGAATAGGTCAGATTCAGGAAAAATAAGTTATGTGGGAAAAATCGCAGCACTATGTATAGAATTACATACCGCCACAGTGACCAAATTTTACTCATATAATGATGATCTTCCTAATTGTATTGGACTGGATTACGCAATCATGTCAGTCAGAAACAAAATCGAAAGGCTAGTAGTGGAACCATCTAAGAAAGACGGCGAAGAGCAGAATGAAGTAGAGGTGAGTTGCTAAAATCCAATTTCACACTCAGAGCTCAAGAGATGAATTATAATAATAATTAGTTTGCAGTTTCAACCTTTAATAATTTTAGCGGTCTGATAACTTGACTGAATAGCTGATTTATTCCTAGTTTTCATCATGTTAACTATAGATTATAAAACCAACTGCTTTGGTTACAGTGGAAATCTGGCTCATTGGCTTAATTATTCGGTTTTCAATCGATGAGACAGGGGTTTGACTTCCGCCCTATCTGCCTTATCATAAGCCACTGGGTAGTTTAATCAGTACGCACATGCTAAATGTGGCCTTTACCCTGGTACATGAAAAATCGCTTCCAGGTAATTGAACTTACAAGACGTTTGCAAATTTTCATGTAACAAGTATAAAACTTCGGCACTTTGGTAGAGCATAACTCCATTATGGATAAAATTTTATTTTGATAAATCACACAGTATTATACAGTAATATTAAACGATAACGTTTCAAGCACAAACTACTGCTCATAATCATATCAAGTTGATTGATACACGCCAATAAATTTTACTATGATTGTTAAGATAACGAAAACATTACATCATGAATTGGATATATATATATATATACATATATATATATATATATATATATATATATATATATATATAAGTAAACAGCAGTGTAAACAAGTAAAAACTGCCTAAGTAATTGACTTGTAAAAGCCGATAAACCTAGTACTTCCAGTAACTTCAGCGTATTTATTGACATAAAATGCCACCACACCCCACAAACAACATGGTTGAGGAAGGGTTATACGAAATTTGCACTCATACAAACAACAAAGAAATGAGAACCTACAGATGTGTAAGAACTGAACAGTACTATTTTAACATTTCAAAACTACACTGCGGCCTGTAGACAATCTAGACGTTATACAACAATGAATTTTATGTTTAATGAGGTCGAGAATAAGCTATGAACGTTGATTTTCTTCGTAGCCCACCGCACAATTATGAATTGGTCAGTCATAGCGGCAAACAGCAATATCGAACGCATTCTGTCACCCCACTTCACGAAGTTAGAGAATTGAGATTAAACCCTATACGAGGATTCTTCATTTGCATTTCGATAAAGATTTGGGGAGAAATTGCCCCCTAATCATTGACACAATACGAAGTCTTCTGCCTACCCAAAAATTCCAATCTTCTCAAAAGACCAAAGGTGATCTTAAGCTTCCCTCGCATATGCATGTGTTAATAACTCCAATTATCTAGTTACTCAGATAATAATCAAACACTCGATTACCTCGAAACTCGTTGAACGAACGTAGATCACGAGGAATACTTTGCTTTACTTATACAACTTTTAACTCTACTTGCTTGTTGAAGGTTTTTTACCTGTGTTGCTGCTTCAGTTTAACAATTCTCCCATTCTAGTCTAAACTGCTGATTTGACAGAACATTGACAATTTAAGTTAAACTCATGCATTTATATTACGACATATACGTTATTATTGCATTCAGATACGATAGACGAGCCTATGCACTGATAATGGTACAGAGACGATTGTGTTGTGCATTGCGAATGTACAATATGGTTACTCTATACTATAGCAGCCCAAAACGAAACTACCTAATAGAGGATTGATGACCCCAAAGAATTAATGTACAGAAATGTGTTTAACGTGCCTATTAGGACTACTGTGAGGAATTGGAAGGTTTTCTTGGAACATATACAAGAATAATATCCTATGTAGCCACTTTTTAAATTGCATTACGCGTCCGATTGGTAGCTGGAGTTGGTTTTCTTTAGGGCTTCTATAGTTAAGAGTTACACAGATTATATCCTACTAATTTTAAAGTCGTGAGAAATATGGTAAATTCAATTAAAGATCAATTAACGCACGTGTCCAATCTTGTAACGCACGAATTCGAAGCGGATCTCAAAGTCACTTTCAATGAATAATCTCTTTCCAATATCCAATATCGTTTTTACGAGCTAGTATAATCCAATTTGATTTCTTTGTGTTCGCCTCTTGATTGTGAGTTAGAGGTTCCTGATCTTTGGAGAACGTCTGCGTAGCTAGTCCCGCCACTCGACTGTCGTGGCTTTGGTTGACTCCAAAAGGAGTAGTGCAGGAATAAATTACATGTGGTTTGTAGAATGAGGTGTGTTAAGACTGCTACTACTGTGAATGGAGTTGATCCTTTCACCAGTTAGTTTTTCGGTATCGTCGTCAATAGGAAAGAGATAATAATAATAATAGATATAATTAGTGAAGGTATTCAGACTAGCAGACAGAAAGGAATAAGAAAAAGTAACAGCAGTCAATCAGCCGGTTTATATGTATATATACCGGTTATAATGATAATAACAATAGGTGTAGTTAAAGCTGTCAGGAGAGTAAAAAGGAAGAGAATGTAAAGAAGTAAAACGACCAGCTTAATTGTCTACCTTTGAATGGTGTATGCGATTCTAAGGATATAGGCCATTTGGATGCAGTCCTTGTTTCGCTGCATGGTTGTCCAGCCTTCGCTTAAAGGCGTGCACAGCTGGTGCCATAGATACATCTGTCGGTAAGGAATTCCAGGGACGGCGAACCTGCAGGGAAAAGAAGTGAGAGCGCACCCGGGGCCTTGCCCTCTGATGAGCTATCCTTCTAGGATTTCCACAAGGGAGCCTATACCTACCTTTGTTTGGGTGATTCTGATCATTTTGTTATCTTTGTTACCAACTTGTATAAGACTTTTGATTTCCTGGTGGTATTTCCTCAATATTCTAGAATATACCTGGGTTTAACTTGGATATCAGTGCATAAAATTTGTCCTTCGGCTTTCGTGGTTCTGTCAAATAGCAGATGTAAGAGCAGCCCCTGGGAATTGTGGTAGCGTATTATCTCATCATAGAGGAAATTTAATTGCTTTTATGAGTTTAAGCGACAAACAACACTGGTAAAACGTATTGCACAATGCTATGTGACTTCATCAAATAAATTTACTCGATGATGGATAAGGCATGATAATTTATTTTGAAGAGGATCAATGAATTATGCCATGTTATTGTTACTGGTATGAACTGCAGTGATCATAGAGCTAGACAAACTTCCGGGAGAGCCAAAAACACTTTGAGATATACATCAGTAATTGAAGAAGTCAGGAAAATGAGATTTGGAATATATAGCGAAGTAAATCATTGGAAATAGAGTTGAAACAGCTTCGTCGACATCTAGTAACTACAATCCACATAAGTTGAATGTCATCATGAAGAGCCCAGATATTAGTATGGCTGAATGCATGAACAGGAATTAGATGGCCTTGGTGGCATGGGATAAAACGTTTGCGTCCCGAGCACTACTGTATCATTCTTTATGTCAGAGGCCGAAAATCACTCATCATGCAAGAGATTGATTCTACACACAATGAAATATGAATATATATACTACATACATTTTCCATGGTAATGTCTTGTATCAAAAGAACGGAGGCTTGTCAAGCAGTTTCAGAAAAACTGGGAAATAGTGAAATGAGAATGAATGCTAACAGAAACAGTGAATTCCAATTTCGTTAGAGTTTAAATCGATCACAACTGGCATATTCGGTAACGGTCTTTAAAATACCTGTCGTTCGCTAGTAGATGTTTGAAGGCATCAAGTGGCCGATTGTGTCACACGACCCTCCATTTGATAATGACATATATTTTTGTGTTGACGGATGATTCCATTTCACAGGCATCATCGATTTATTATATGATATATAAATCGAGTGGTTAAATTTCTAAGTGTTCAACTACGCAAGATATATATTAAAGAAAAAGCGATGGAATAATATCAGCAAGCCCACCTTACATAGGTAAAAGCAATTTACACGATATAATTCTGGGCAGTGTTATTGTTGAAATCTAGCGGAAATGCACTTAGTAATTCAGGGTTGT